AATCACTTTGGATTTTACCTGAAAAAATGGCAGTTGCCTTTCTGGGAGAAAACTTCTCCCCCACTTCATTCCTCATCAGGATGTTTTTGTTTTTGGAGGGAAAGGTCACTCTGTCTTCTGATAGCATGAAATCAGATCATCTTCATCTTCAAGTCAGAGATGAAACTGACTTGAAATGGAGTTACATTTGTCTACCTCTGGTCCACTCCACTCTAGAGTCTAACCTTCCAGGGGTCCAGCCAAGAGCCTGGGATGTTTATTAATGTCCCTTCCCTTGTCAAATTCTGAGCCCCAGTGTTTATCTCGTCAGCACCATAAGTCTTCATGGAGACTTTTCGCTGACTTTCCTACCCCCACTGGAGTGGGAGGGGAGCCTGGAGACCAGTGCAAGCCTTAAGGATCTGAAGAGCACAGAAAGAAAGGCCTCTGTCACAGAGGCCTTTGATTTGTCAGTGTATCCCCTGCAGAAACCTAGCAAGTCCTGAAGAATGACAGTCTCTTTCCTCCAAGTCAGCCAAGTGCCAGGTCCGGTTGTCGCCTCTATGCCAGATGCAGTATCTTTGCAAAAGCAAATGAACAGTGTCTCGGATATATGCTTGTGGTCACTGATTGGATGAGTGTGTGTTTTTTTTTCCTTTCACTATTAGAAAAGGGGATAAGAAACATTTGAACTCACACAAAGAGACAACAGTATATATTATTTAGTTTTGCCCCCAAGAAACCGTATTAACACACTTTCCTTCTGTTAGAGAGTGTGGATGATGTATAATTCCCACAGCCCATCGTATTAGTCAGCTCTATCAATGATAATTAGAAAAGACCCTGATTCTGGGAAAGACTGAGGGCAGGAGGAGAAGGGGACGACAGAGGATGAGATGGGTGGATGGCATCACTGACTTGATGGACATGACTTTGAGTAAGCTCCAGGAGTTGGTGATGGACAAGGAGGCCTGGTGTGCTGCAGTCCATGGATCAGTCCAAAGAGTCCAAAGAGTCAGACACAACTGAACGCCTGAACTGAACTGATCACTGGTATCATGCTAATCAAGCCAGATGAGCTAAAGTAGTCACCACTTTAGAGGCCCTGGCTCACATGCATTTCAGATATTGGGAGGTAATTCTGTGAAGAACCCACTAAATCAGCGGCATGCCAGGAGGTCTCCTCTTTTAAAAAATGGTACATCCCACTATACAGAAGGAGGTCACAGTGCCTCTGGATCCTGACGGTGGCATATTTCACAGCTGGGGATACTGCTTCTGCCCACTTACAAGGTGACAAAATAAGCTGTCAGCTTTGAATGGGACTTAGATTAGGGAAGGGTTCTGCAGAAGATGCAGGCTGTGGTGAGAACAGTGCTGCTACTTGGGTGATCCAACCGAACTGACCCTGTGGTGTTAGAGGTGTCAGATGTGGAAGAAGGCTCCATGTGGACTTTGCAGCACATGTGGGAGAATCGCAGCGTAGAGCCCTGTGGTTCTGCAGCAAAGCCACACCATTTTCAGTGGAAGGTACAAGCCTTTGGAATAACAACTTTTGGTGTTCTAGTGGACCCCGGTTAAAACAGACCACCTGACCGAAAGACGCCTTGTGACGGCTCATCCAGAACAGCCCATTGTGTGGTGAGTTCTATCAGGTTTGCTGAGTCAAAAACTCCCTCTTGTAATACGAAAGTGGTGTACCCAGAGCTGAGCGTGAGTGAGAGAAAAAATCACGAGTGAGTTGCATGGGCAATGTGGGGAGCATTCCTGCAAAGACATCTGTGGCCTCACTCCTGGAAGCTAAGAAAAAGCAGAGACGTTACTTTGCCAACAAAAATCCATCTAGTCAAAGCTATGGTTTTTCCAGTAGTCACGTATGGATGTGAGAGCTGGACTATAAAGAAAGCTGAGTGCTGAAGAATTGATGCTTTTGAACTGTGGTGTTGGAGAAGACTCTTGAAAGTCCCTTGGGCTGCAAGGAGATCCAACCAGTCCATCCTAAAGGAGATCAGTCCTGGGTGTTCATTGGAAGGACTGATGCTGAGGCTGAAACTCCAATACTTTGGCCACCTCATGCAAAGAGCTGACTCATTTGAAAAGTCCTGATGCTGGGAAAGATTGAGGGCAGGAGGAGAAGGGGACGACAGAGGATGAGATGATTGACGTGATGGACATGAATTTGAGTAAACTCCGGGAATCGGTGATGGACAGGAAGGCCTGGGGTGCTGCACTCCATCGGGTCACAGAGAGTCGGACATGACTGAGCGACTGAACTGATGAATATGTTATTTGGTAAATGGTAACTGTGAGGCATCTCTGATTGACCATTTTTAGCTCCTAAGTTTCCTGTTGGGCAAGATTGTTATAGTATATAAGTTTAAAAGTTTCTGAAGACCACCTTTCAGCTCAATAATTTGCTAAAAGATTAGTAGAGCTCAGAAAACCGTTATGCTCATGCCATGGTTTATTACAGTGAAAGAATACAGATTAAAATCCGCAAACGAATATGACTTATTCTAGGTGTGCAAGGCTGGTTCAACATCCAAAGCCTTAATGATGTGATTCATCCCATGAACTGACCAAAGACGTAAAGCCATATGATCATATCAATAGATGCAGTAAAATCATTTGACAAAATCCGGCACCTATTTGTAAAAACTATCAGCAAACTAGAAATAGAGGGCAATTTTCTCAACTTGATAAAGACCATCTACAAAAATCCTATAACCAATATCATACTTCATAGTGAGAAACCAGATGCTTTCCTGCTAAAATCAGAAACAAGGCAAGGATGTTTGCTTTCCCCACATCTGTCCAACACACAAACATTTTTTCTCAATCTGTGGCTTGTCTATTCATTCTTTCTCTATCTCTCTCTTTCTTTAACTTCTAACATATTAATAGCTACATTAAATATAAATGGTTTAAGTATATCAGTTAAAGGGCAGAGATTGCCAGAGTAGATTAAAACATAGCCTAGTTATAAACTGTCTTTAAAAACTCAGTTCAAATATACCTTTATAGGCAGATTGAAGTGAAAGGATGGAAAAAAATACACATCATGAAGACACTGATAAAAGGAAAATGTAAGTGCCCATCTTAATACCAGATAAACTTGACTTCAGAGCAAAGAAAATTACCACTAACAGAGCTACTATATAATGATAAAAAGGCGAATCCATAAAAAAAAAAAAAAAGTAATCCTAAATGTGCAAGCATAAACAACAAAGTGGCAAAGTACGTGATGCAAAACCTGATGGAACTAAAAGGAAAAATAGACAAACTCACAATTCCAGCTAGAGACTTTAGTTTGCCACCTTCAATAATTTATAGAACAACTATACAGACAATCAGCTTCAGAAAAGAAGAACTAAATAAAGTCATCAACCAACAGCATTTAATGAAAATCTGTAGAACATTCCACTCAACAACAGGATACATGTTCCATGTACGCACCACAGAACTTGCCTCTCGTATCAGGTTCTGGCTTTTTCTACCTGGGAAGGTCTCGTTTAGTTGGTGAGATGCTGTTTTTTTTCTCTGGTACTTCCAACCTCCCCTTAAATTGTCACTGATATTTTCTTGTTAATTTCTGGATCTTTGCCTTCCCAGGCCATAGGAAAGTTCTGAGGGTCTCCACACTCTGGGTCTCATGACTGAAAGTAAAAATAGCTCGATACAACTTTATATTCGTTTTTCTTGAGTTCTACTTCGTCCTTCCAGAACATTCTGTCCTCTTTATCTCACTTCTTCTCTTTCACACTGAGGCAGTTTCACATCACTATGTGTCTTGCCTCTTATCACACCATCCCCTTATCATGTAATGTGTCACAGGACAACATGGGCTTTGATTTTCTCTTGTTTTTTCTTTTTTGTGTGTGTCTTGTTTTGATTTGGCTTTTTGTCCATTGAATTTTTGAATCTGTTTCCCCTCTGTTAAACATGTAACTGGGGCAAACTGCTCAAATTCCCGAAACTTTGTCATTTATAAAATGGGAATAATAGTGACTCTTGGTGGGACTGCGGTATCCTCTTAACTACTTTTCCTTTTGTCCTTCAAACTCTAAAATTCTTTGTTTTAATGAATGACGTTGATATAGTTGATTGGGAGACTGGTCCTGGGGAAGAGGTTTACTGGAGATTCTGGAGGTGACCTTGGGGAGATTTCTGGGCACGGGGACCAGCAGGAACAAAACTCAGAGGCAGCCTCAAGTCTGGTGCTTTCAGAAGCCCGAAGAAGAGCATGTTTGGTACTTTTTTGTTGACTTCATACTTAGAACTCAGTGAGGAGGGAGGTAAGGGTGGACGGATGAAAAAGATTTGGAAAGCACTAGTGATGGGAGAAAGGACAGATATAATCCAAGGGACAGCAAGGAGCAGAGGGAACGCAAATCTTCCAAAACAAAAGAGAGCATATGATGTTTTGGCATAAAAAGATTATTTCAGAAAGTTTCTTAATCCGCATTCTTAATACGTAACCTACTTTCATATCTCCAGATCCTATCCTGGATCTTGATCATATGGATGCATTGTTTCATGTGGTTGTAGCTTTCGCAAAACAAGTTTTATGTTTTCTGGAAAGATTAATACATAACCCTGATGGCAGTCTAACCTTTTAGTCAGAACATATCCATTTTAGACTATTTTCCATGTTGACTGTTGACCAAAACAACCAAGTCTAACTTTTGTCTGTCCTGAGAAGTGTCCCATTCTCTGCAACCCCGTGGACTGTAGCCCGCCAGGCTCCTCTGTCCATGAGATTCTCCAGGCAAGAATACTGGAGTGGGCTGCCATGCCCTCCTCCAGGGGGTCTTCCCCACCCAGGGATTGAACCCAGTTGTCCAGCATTGCAGGCAGATTCTTTACCATCTGAGCCACTAGGGAAGACCTAGTGTCTCATTATTTGAGTCACAGAAATTCTGCAAAATAAAATCAATTTAACACAAGCCTTCTTCATTTCAGTAAGGTAGTCTAAAGTGAAAGTGAAAGTCGCTCAGTCGTGTCGGACTCTGTGCGACCCCATGGACTATACAGTCTATGGGAATCTCCCGGCTAGAAGACTGGAGCGGGTAGCCTTTCCCTCCTCCAGGGCGTCTTTCCAACCCAGGGACTGAACCCAGGGCTCCCGCATTGCAGGTGGAACCAGCGGGGAAGCCCAAGGTAGCCCGGGCAGGCCAGAAAACCCTCATTTGCTATCACCTCTCCAATCGCTGCGCCCCTTTGCACGGGGTCTCAGCAGAGAGGCTGGTACGTGCCGAGTCGCTCAGTCGTATCCGACTGTGTGGCCCCACGGACCGTAGACCGCAGGCTCGTCTGACCCCGGGGTCCTCCAGGCAGGAATACCCGGCGGGCTGCCGGCCGGGGTTGAGCCGTGGCGGGGCCGGCAGGCGCGCGCTCGGCCGGCAGGGGGCGTGGGGCTCCGGGCCCGAGCCCGGGGGCGTGGCCCCGCGTCCTTGACTGACAGCGGAGGATNGCTCCTGGCCTCGGCCGTGGTGGTCTGGGAATGGCTGAACGAGCACGGGCGCTGGAGGCCCTACAGCCCCGCGGTGAGCCACCACATCGAGGCGGCGGTGCGCGCCGGCCCGCGCGCCGGCGGCAGCGTGGTGCTGGGCCAGGTGGACCGCCGGCTCGCGCCCTACATCATCGACCTGCACTCCATGAACCAGTTTCGCCAGGACACGGGTGAGCCGGCCGCCCCCGCCCCGCCCGCACCGTCCCCCGCCGGGGGGCCCCTCCGGACCACGGGGTTCCCCACAGGCGGCCGAGGAGGGGGCGCGATGCGCCCCCGCCCCGCGATCCTCTTATGATACCTCCGGCAATAAACGTCCGTGCAGGTCTGGTTAGGCCGGCCGACTTAACCCTCGCCCCTAAGAAAGCCCTTCACGCCCGCCCCCTTTAAACGCTCGGTACCCAAGTCCGCTCTTGCAGGAACCGAGGGGCCGCGGCAGCATCCCGGCCGGTGGGCAAGTCTACCTGCCCGCCTTCGCCAGCATCACGTGGGCTGAGCCTCCATTGCCTCGGGCACCCTGGGGCCTGCCACCCGCTTCCCCGGTGGCCCACCTGGCCGCCTCGAATCCTCCCGGGGGCATGCCCTCCCCAGGGCCGTGTCTTGGGGGTGGGCACCGGGCGCGGGGAAGGGTGGAGATTCCAGGGAGGCCGGCGCTGTGGTCGAGCCTGCGAAGGGAGAGGCCTCCCCGGGGAGACCGATGGACTGGGGGGCTGCCAGGGCCGGGCACGGCCTGGCGGCCGCAGGGCCGTAAACGCCTCTGCTCGGGCGCTCCGAGGGTGGAAGCAACAGGCCCGCGCATATGGACTGGGGACGGGGAGGGCCGCCGCTCCGGAATGCCGGCGGGGAAGCCGAGCGTGTTTGTCCCTGGGGGCGGAGGCGGCCGGGCGGCGCATTCTTGCAAGGAAACTGTCCCCAGCTTCCTCCCACAAAGGTCCCCGATGGGGGACACATGAACTCCCATCTACTGGTGAGAAGCAAGTCGCCGCTGAGGCCACTACCAACCCGGCTTCCCAGCCCGAGTGAGGATGGCGATCGGGGTGCCAGGTCCTTGGCGCGAGGGCGGGGAAGCTGGGGAGACCTGCCTCTCTGCGAGGGCCCGGGCCGGGTTCAGCTGGTCTGGGACGCATCTATCCCTGAATAGTGGCGGTGTTTCTGGGAGGCGTTTCTGGAATTCTGGCTGGGTTTTCCCGGCGAGTGTGACTGCTCAGTTCAGTTCAGGCGCTCAGTCATGTCCCACTCTTTGCACCCCATGGACTGCAGCCTCCCAGGCCTCCCTGACCCCCCGGAAAGGCAGGTGTCACGGGAGGAGGGACCGGAGAGGGGACGGGAGAGTCCCAGAGGGTCAGAGAACAGCTGCCCGAGTAGGGCATGTCCGCCCGCCTTGGAAAGCCCCCACGTCCTGAGCGTTAATTAGGATGGTCATGGGAAAGGGGTGTCTTTCCACCCCCCGTCTTCATCTGTAGCCATGACTCCCAACAAGCTCGCTGCCAAGGACTTTGCAGACACTCGCCTATTGAGGGAAGCCTTCTGGGGAAAGGATTCCAGAAGTGTTAGCATCTGGGGCGGCTTCAGCCCTGGTGAGAGAGGGGGGAGGGTGGAGCTGTGAGAGACTGGGGGAGGAGGGGATAAAGAGGGAAGTGGAGAGACTGGGACAGAGGAGAGTGGGGAGACTGGGAGAGAGGGAAGCGGGGAGACTGGGGCAGAGGATCGTGTGGCCTGGGGGGAATCAGGAGAAGTTAACTGTGGACTTTGGGTGGTGGCTGGAGAGGTGTAGCCCTGTCGGTGGGGCCAGAGCGGGGCTGACGGTCAAGACCCCTACCCGACAGGGGACTCCAGTCCAGCTCAGAATTCACGGGCAGGTGTTAGCTGTTCAGTTGTCATTGTTGAGTCACTAAGTCATGTCTGAGTCTTTTGCAACCCATGGACTATAGTCCGCCAGGCTCCTCTGTCCGTGGGATTTTCCGGGCAAGAACACCGGAGTGGGCTGCCCTGCCCTCCCCCAGGGGGTCTTCACCACCCAGAGGTCAGACTTGTGTCTCCGCGTGGGAAGGGCGGTCCTTTACCTCTGAGCCACCAAGGAGGCCTGTGAGATGGCCTGTTTCAGATTAAATCTCAGCAGCTGGAGGGACACCGTAGTGACCGAAAGGTCCCGGGCCTGGCCTTTGGAAAGGAGGAACGCTTACTCGGTGTTCAGGGATGTCTGAGGTGCGCCTGGCATGGGTCCTTTGTACAGAGGTGAAGTCTGGAGGAAACTAGGTGGATGGACAGACCCTCCTTCCCCAGAGCTGACCACTCTTCCCTGACAACCAGCTGACCACTGCCTGGTTAGACCTGAGCTGGCCCTGGATCCTTTTTCTAATTGCCTTGGGCTACTTGTTCCATTGTTCTCTTCCTTTTAGAGACTGCTTTGGTTTCACCCACTCATGCTAAGGGTCGGTCGGCCAACCCATCCTCCGAGCCAGACCTGGCACAGAAGGCCCTGGGCTGGATTCCCAGGAGTGCTGGGTCTGTCGGGGAGCTTGCCAAAGCAGAATAGCATCTTGGGGTGTCTGCAGCCCCCCTCCTCTGTTTTCTCCGCCAACGGACACACAGTTCCTCTCCATATAGCTCATGGATGAAACCATGACAGGGTAGGACCTGGAACCCGCCGGCTCCCCAGCAACCTTGGCCAAGCCCTGCAATGTTTAATTAAAGCAACGGCCGTTCCCAAGCCACAGTTTGAAGCTGGGAAGCAGACACATCTCCATAAACAAAGGGGAGCTGGGAGCCCCTTGCCCAGAGGCGATTCCTCTTTTCTTCTTCTTGTTGTTGTTGTTGTCCCCCCTCTGTGGGGACGTTTCCTGACGTGGGAGCTTTGTTTTGTAGACCCTCCTTCCCCAGGGCTGACCACTCTTCCCTGACAACCAGCTGACCACTGCCTGGTTAGACCTGAGCTGGCCCTGGATCCTTTTTCTAACTGCCTTGGGCTACTTGTTCCATTGTTCTCTTCCTTTTAGAGACTGCTTTGGTTTCACCCACTCATGCTAAGGGTCGGTTGGCCAACCCATCCTCCGAGCCAGACCTGGCACAGAAGGCCCTGGGCTGGATTCCCAGGAGTGCTGGGTCTGTCGGGGAGCTCGCCAAAGCAGAATAGCATCTTGGGGTGTCTGCAGCCCCCCTCCTCTGTTTTCTCCGCCAGCGGACACACAATTCCTCTCCATATAGCTCATGGATGTAACCATGACAGGGTAGGACCTGGAACCCGCTGGCTCCCCAGCAACCTTGGCCAAGCCCTGCAATGTTTAATTAAAGCAAGGGCCGTTCCCAAGCCACAGTTTGAAGCTGGGAAGCAGACACATCTCCATAAACAAAGGGGAGCTGGGAGCCCCTTGCCCAGAGGCGATTCCTCTTTTCTTCTTCTTGTTGTTGTTGTTGTCCCCCCTCTGTGGGGACGTTTCCTGACGTGGGAGCTTTGTTTTGTTTTTTTTCTTCAGAAGTTGCCTGCCTTGCTGCCAAGTAAGTCCTCAGCATCTCCACTCCCCCAGCTCCAGCCTCATCCAGTCTGTCTCCAAGGAGAGCGCTGGGGCCCCAGACACCTCGCCCACCTCTGTTTGCCCTGGGCCCTTCTCTTCCCCGACTCTGACCTTATTTGAATTCAGAGTCAGTTTTCCTCGAGGCGGAGGGAGAAGGAGGAAAAAAACAGGCAGGTGGAGGTGAAGGAATCTTGCTGCTTCCCAAAACCTTGGCTGGGTCCTCTCTACCGGCTGACCATTCGCCTTGACCCGGCTGACCTGTTTGTGTTTGTAGGCAGCGGCTGGAACTTCATCCCCTGTATCTTCCAGCATCACTGTCCCCTGTAAGTTTCAGTGGACCCAATCATTACCATTGACTCCCTTGACTGCTTAAGCGTCGTTCTCATCCGTAGAATGAAGGGCAGCTTGCGGTTCCTTCTGGCTCCCTGCCTCCCATCATGCAGGTCAGCGGGTGGATGAGTCTGGAGCCTGCACCACCGAAGATGCTGATGAGAAGTAACAGGGTGTGAGGGAGTGTTTTCCAGGCAACGCTGGCCTCTTCTATGTCTTTAACACACTGAGAAAGGTCAGATGGAGTGTGAATCAAGGGTTTGGTAGAAGCTGATTTTTAGGCCTGCTCCCCCGCAATATTCCCCACCGTGTGTGACCACACGATGCTGCGGCGTGGGGCAGGCAGCAGGCACCGTGCGCATAGTATCTGGTTCCATCCTTGGTTCTCCTATGAAGGACCCTCTCTTCTGGTTTCATAGTAAAGGAAACAAGTTGGAAAAGATGATGTTGCCCAAAGTTTTACAGCACGTGCCCGACAGAGCTGAGGTTCCGGATCAAGTGCGTGTGCCCTGCCTCCTCTGGGGAACACCTGCACACCCCCTGCTTCACGTGGACCCCGTCCCAGGCTCGAGAGAACGTTTGAGTGTGGATGAGGGCTGCTGGTCAGAGAAGCCTGAGACGTCCTGAGCGCAGAGCCCCATAGAGAAGGATGAAATGCTCCAGGATCCTAGGGTCACTCCTGGAAGGTGCTGTCTCTCTTTTCCCAAGAGCCAGAGCAGTTTGGGTGGTGCTTTGGGGTGTCGGTGTCTGAGTTGCCAGGGAAACCTTTTCTCCCCCTCTCTTTCTCTTTCTTCCTGCTTAGTCTGTGTAATCCTTTATCCCTGTCCTTCAGTCACTGCACCCTGGGACCCAGTGGATTTCCTCTGATCATCTAGCTCAGGGTCCTGACTATAGACAGGTCCAGGACCTGCCTGTTCCTGATGGAGCAGTCTCTGAAAATCTTCAGAGAATGCAATCCCACCATCTTTCTTGTCCCCCGACTTTGGTTCCGAGGTCCACCTCCTGTTTTTAACTCGCCCTCCAGGGCTGAACTGAATGCAGCATCTTTCCCTCCAAAAGCCAGCTCTTCCTTGTGACACCTCTCTGCTTGGTGAATGGCATCACCATCTTACCACCTGCCCATGATGGAAGCCTCAGGAGTCTGTGACTCGTTTCAGCTTTGTATTTGGACGCCTCATCTACACAGACTTGAGGAAGTTGAAAGTTGAGCAGTCATGATGAACACGGCAGAGATTCGCATGCAGGTTTCTGGGCCCGGCCCCCAGCCAGGCCAACCCTCGGTGACTCCTGTGTTCCCCAGGAGACTCAGAAGCAGGTGATCCTGGATCACTTAGAAAGCGTTCAGCTACTCAGGCTCACGTCTTGCCCAGTGCCCCTCTGTAGGGTCTGTGGTCTATCACCTGCTTTTCATTTCTGCTCCCAGCACCTTCTCCCACCTCCATCCCCTCACCACCACCCCCAGCCCCTCAGTACTCAATAAACAGAGCAGCTCTGGGGAGAGTGTGCTTCCCCAGGGGCTCAGCGGTAAAGAATCCACCTGTTAAAGCAGAAGACACAGGAGACGCCGGTTCGATCCCTGGGTCTGGAAGATCCCCTGGAGGAGGGCGTGGCAACCCACTCCAGTGTTCTTGCCTGGAGAACCTCACAGACAGAGGAGCCTGGTGGGCTACGGTCCATGGGCTGGCAGAGTCAGCCTCGACTGAAGCGAGTTAGCATGGATGCATCGATGCCATCAGCTGTGTCACAAGCCTCAGTGGCTCCATGAGACCTGGAAATAAAAGCCCTCATGACCCAGCGTTTCCGACCACCTGTGACCTGGTTCTCACACACTTTGCCAGGTTTATCTTCCTCTCTGCCCATACTTTCCTCTAGTCCTGCCAGACAGGCGAGCCTTTTATTCAGGCATCCCCTGGGACCCCACCCCCCAACCCTGCAGCAGCTTGCCTCTCCTGAGATGCCCTTCTTCAGCATTTTCACCTCCTGAGATCCAGCCCTGCCTCGGCCCTAGGCTCGTGGTCATGCTCTCCATTTCTTGAAAGATTCTCCAAATGGTTCTTTGATTTGTTCCATGGATAGGTGCTGAGTCCTAGGACACACCAGGCAGTGGGGCCGCAGCCATGAGCACACTCCTGGATGCCCATGCTGTGAGACCGGGAGTCCCATGGGTTAGAGGGACGTTCGTCAGATGAGTCTCACAAAGTTAATGTGTGACTACAACTCCAGATCCGTGTTAAATAATAATAATAATAATAACAGGAGCAGGAATGTGAGCCAGTTGGACGACCCAGAGAGGTTTCCTTGAGAAAATGAACTGAGATCTGAAGGATGGGCACAGCAGCCGGTGAGGAAGTGGGGGCAGACAGTATCAGGGTGTGAGGCGGCCACGGAGCGGGCGGCTGGAGCGGGTCTCCGTCTTGACCTCCGAGGAAGTCGTGCCCGGGACCGGAGCTCCCAGGGCGTGCGGTTTCCTGGTAACACTGCCCTGGGGGCAAACTTCTGGGGGCAGCCTCTGTCTCCTAACTTCCTTGCCTGGTTTTAGACTCCTGGCGCTCGAGGAGCGCCCGAATCTGCCTTCCTCACAGCCGCTGAAACACACTCAGCAACACGGGATCCGGGATCAGATGCCAGCGTCCCGAGGTGCGTCTTCCACGCACCGCGGCGCGTCTGTGGCGCCCGCGCTGCCTTAGGCGCTGGAGGGCAGGGAGTTCTGCGGGAGCATCTCCGCCTCCGCGCGAGGCCGTGCTGTGAGAAAGGCCGGGATGCTGCTGCCCAGCAGTCGGAAGGCGCCCTGCTCCCCAGGCTCCTTGCGGGTGGCGCCCGGACCGGGAGGGCATGTCCGGAAACGGGTGACAAATGGCGCAGGAGCTGAACGGTAAGCAACATTTCAGTAGATGAAAACGGCAAAGGTGGGCATCCCCAGAGGCCAGCCCTGGGGACTAGGGGGTGTGGGGGAGTCAGGGAGCACTCGCGAGGGAGCAGACAGGTGGGGAAACAAGGCTGGACCGAGCGCTGATGCAGCCGGAAGCTCCGCTGGATCCGAAGGCCGCGACTTTGTCCTCCAGCGAGCTGACTCCTTAGCGGGGAACCGGCGGTGAACCCGGGCCTCCTGGGTGCCTCTTCTCCCTCCTCCCCGCGCCCCCCACGTCCCCCAGCAGAGCTCCCGGGCCTGAATAGGGGGCTTGTTCTGCCTCTCCCTCCAGCCTCTGCATATTGATGTTCTGGGTCGTTAAGGGGCTTGGAGACTGGGCGGGAGGGCGGGTGACGACCTGGCAAAGGCCTCAATAGTCATTGTTCCTTTTCTTCCCCCTTTGAATGGGATTCTGTCCCCAGTCTTGGTATCTCCTTCTGGCTTGGAGGAGGGGATGGGTCAGGGGCCAGCGGAGGGGAGCCTTTTCCCACCGCTCTGATGGATGGAGCCTAAGCCGACAGATGCAGAGATTCCAGCATCCTTGGAGCTCTCCCAGTCTCCCCCTCATGCCCCAAGCCAGGCGTCCTCAGCCTTGAGTTTAATACCCATGAAATGAGCCTGGGTTGGGCATGGGTCTGCATTCAGGGTTCTGGGAAGTAGAGGAGAAAGAGGCAACAGTTACAGGCTTAATTTTCCCCGCCAGTCCTGCAGGTTCATCTCGATCTAACTGTTCCTCTGCAGGAACCCGATCTCTCCCCTGCCCTCGCCACCCCCTACCCACCCACCCCGAGACTATCCAGAATGACACTGTCCTACCTTTTGTTTATAATTACAGGACCCCTTTTTATTATTATTCAGGAAGCAGGCAGAGTTATCTAAGGTTGAAGAACATGATCTTTGCTCACACACATCTGGACTCAAGTCCTTGACATGTACTTCTACACTTTGTCTCGTTGGGCCGTTTAAATGAGACCACGTTGGTGGCTCAGATGGTAAAAATCCTCCTACAATGCAGGAACCCGGGTTCAATCCCTGGGGTGGGAAGATCCCCTGGAGAAGTCAACGGCCACCCACTCCAACATTCTTGCCAGGAGAATTCCATGTACAGAGGAGCCTAGTGGGCTATACAGTCCATGGGGTCGCAAAGTGTCAGACAGGACTGAGCAAGTAACACTTTCATTTTCACCCTATCTTTGGCTTTCCTGGTGGGTCAGCAGGTAAAGAATCTGCCTGCCAGTGCAGGAGATGCAAGAGACTCAGTTTCAGTCCTTGGGTTGGGAAGATCCCCTGGAGAAGGAAATGGCAACCCACTCCAGTATTATTGCCCAGAAAATCCCATGGGTAAAGGAGCCTGGCGGGCTATAGTCTATGAGGTTGCAAAGTCAGACACAACTTGTGACTAAACTGCCACTAAACAGCCACAACCCTGTCTTTAGGATGGTTGAGCTTCTTGAATAAAAGATGTTAGACAAATAGAAAGCTATTCTTAGGATCGCTATTACTGTTGTTGATATAAGATTTAATGCTGGGAAATATGAGAGAGTTCTCTCACCCTGATCTTTTATTTTATTTTTTTTTACCACACCCATAAAAGTCCAGAGAGCCAGCTCCATCACCACTGGGTGGGCTTCCTGGGTGGGGACAGAGTCTTCCTCCGTTCTCTAGGTTTCCCTGACCTGTGTTCTTTTCCTCTTAGCCCTCAGGGGCTTAGGCCTTTAGAGAGTCACAGAAGAAGAGAGATTATTTAAGAGCACTTTCTATGTGTCCAAGGCTATGTGCCTTAGTGCAAAGGACAGGGCGCTTGAGAAGTCCAGGACTTGGCACAAATACATACATGTTGAGTGGGAGAGCAACATTTAATTATGGCAAAAACTTTGCAAAGGAGCTATTATCTTATTTCTCCTGGGGGAGAAAAGGAGGTTGTGGGCTCCCTATACGAAGCAAACAAATGTGACTGCAAACTAAATTTAGGGTCTCCGGACTCCAAGCCAGGCAGTGCCCTTTGGGGTACCCTGCAGCGTCACCCACATCCTTCCTTTGCAGCTCATCAGCTTCCCACCCTGCCGCCGCCCCAGCCGCACCCCTGAACCTTTCCCGGTTCATGACAGGAAGGAGCCCCCTTCAAAGCCAAGACAGCCAAGGTGCCGGCCACCCAGTAGGACTCTCTTACCGGGAACCTCTTAAGGCAGCACCCGTGGGTTCCAGCCCCGGGTGCCCCTGACCGCCTCCTCCGTCTCTCTCCGGCAGGGACCCTCCGGCCAGTCCGGCGCAACTACTACGACCCCGCCTCGGCGCCTGGGAAGGGCGTGGTGTGGGAGTGGGAGAACGACCACGGCTCCTGGACGCCCTACGACATGGACGTGGGCATCACCATCCAACACGCCTTCGAGAAGCAGCGGCCCTGGATCGACCTGAGCCCCATCGGCTTCGGCTACGTCATTGACTTCGGCACCATGGGCCAGATCAACCGGCAGACGCAGCGCCAGCGCCGCGTGCGCCGCCGCCTGGACCTCGTCTACCCGCTGGTCACGGGCGCCGCGAGCCGCGCCACGTCCTTGGGAAGCCGGCCCCGTCGTCGCAGGCGATTCGGAGACAAGCCTCCTGCGTGGTGTCAGGGGCGGCCCCCGCAGGCTGCCCCGCCAGCCCCCCGGGGGCCAACGGCAAGGCCGGCCGGGCGGCCCTGGCCACCTTGAATCGGACCAGCCTGCAGCGACTGGCCCTCGCCCAGTCCCGGGTGCTGATCGCGTCTGGGTAAGTGCTTCTGCGGGACACCTGGAGTGAGTCTGGAGCCCCAGGCCTCAGACCTGAGGATCGCCTGAGTCACAGAGGACGCAGGGGCTGCTCTGGCTTAAGCTCCTCCTCGGCTTCTCCAGACCCCCTGGTTGCAGGGGGAAGGCCCGCAGTGCTGTGGTGCGGAGGGAGCCTTTTGGTCTTTGGGGTCCCAGCAGGTCTGGATTCTGAAGGAGACGTTGCCTCTTACTAGGAGGAGGAAATGGCAACTCACTCTAGTATTCTTGCCTGGAGAATCCCAGGGATGGAGGAGCTGGGTGGGCTGCCGTCTATGGGGTCGCACAGGGTCGAACACGACTGAAGTGACTTAGCAGCAGCAGCAGCGGCCCTGTGATAGGAGCCGGTTCCCTAACATCATAGAATCCTAATTTGCTCATCTGTAAATTCTGGCCATGGTGTTAGGGTTGCAGTGAGGACTAAAGGAGACCATGCCTGCCAAGGAAGAGCAGGCATCATTCGTGGGCTCCCACCACCTTCTAGTCTGCAGGCCTTATCGCTTTACTTAATCCCTGCAAGTCTATGAAGCAGGCGTTTTTGGTCCCATTGGAAGACCCGAGAGGTTTCACTCGCTCCAGGGCACATATCTGGTTATCAGCAGAGACAGGGAGTTTGAGCCCAGACTCCTTCCGACTCTGCCACGCGGCTTCCCTGGCAATCGCACACCGCGGTGTCCAGCACACCGTGGATGTCCCGTGAGAGTTACTTCCTTGCCTCTAGTGACTCCAGATTGGAATAACAGCCCATGTTTAGTAAGTGCTTACCACGGGGTTTCCCTGGTGGCTCAGATGGTGAGGAATCCACCTGCATTGCAGGAGCCTCAGGTTTGATCCCTGAGTCAGGAAGATCCCCTGGAGGAGGGCATGGCTACCCACTCCAGTATTCTTGCCTGGAGAATTCCATGGACAGAGGAGCCTGGTGGGCTACCATCCATGGGGTTGCCCGACTGAGCGACTTCACTTTCACACACTTCCACTTACATGTGCCAGACACTTTCTGTGCGTGTCAGTCATTCCTTCTGACAACTTGGGGGTGTTGTCCATTCTGTTATTCCTGTTTATCAACCTTCTTAGTCTTCCTGATAAAAGTCTTCTCTGATAAAATCAGAGAGACCCAGGTCCACGTGGTACCCCCCCCCCACCTTTGTCTGCTGGCCACAGATTTCATGTGAGATTGGGCCTCTTATACCTGCCAGTCTTCCCTTTCTCTGGAGGAGCCTGACCCAGCAGACAGCCCTAGCCCCAGATATTCAGGAAGGCTTACAGTTAGGGTGGACACCAGCTTGCGAAGATCGGGCTGCCTGGAGGAGGGTCTCTGCACGGGGGGGCTCGGCCCTGGGCGGAGAGAAGACGAGGGGATGCTGTGGCCTAGGAGGTGGCCCAGGGTACCCCTACCTCTGCCGTTGGGCAGGCCCTAGACTCTGCACGTCCACGCCCTGCCTGTATGGACTGGGGGTAGCAGGCTTGCCCTGCCCACCCCTTGAGTCAGCGTGTAGCCCTCAGCGAAGAGAGGGCACTCCTTCACAGCCGCCCAGATGCACTTGCCAGCAGGAACCCATTCCAAGGGTCAGACAAGGGCCCTGAGCCTCAAGGGAACTCCGCAGGGGGCGCTGCACACTCCACGCGTTACGGAGGTGAGGCCGGGCCCAGGTCTTCGCCTCCTCATCCAATCAGTGCTCTTTTGGCTAAAGCCCAGCTCCTCATTGTATTCGAAGGCAAGTTATAAATGGTCAGATGCCGGTCAGGTGCCGGGGCTTTTCCCGTGACTTCCTCTGGGCCTGCAGAAATGTCTGGCAGAGGGACAGGGCCCGGTGATGCCACTGGTCCTGTCTCCACGCTGGCATGAGGCAGCATCCCGGGGCCTCTCACAGGAGTTCCTGGCGCCTGACACCGTGGGAGAGGGACGCTCGCGTGGGGTAAGAGGTCACCCTCGGGAAGCCTGACCGCGCGGGTTGGGACCCAGGTTTCTGGCTGCATAACTCGTAACTCGGGGCAAGCTGTGCACCATCCGTCTTCAGTTTATTCATCTGTAAAATGGGGGAAGGAACAGTTCCTTGCCTATAGGATTTGCCATGGGGATTACAGGAGGTTTTCAGTGAGATTTACCATAATGCTGGGCACGTGATTAGAATTTGCTCAGACGCTGCTATTGTTATTACTATGAACTGTCTGAGCTAGGCCCTCTGTAGTTGCTGAAGTCGGATCTAAGCTGACTCCACCACTTCATTTCTGGCGCCCTAGACAAAAGCCAGGTGACCTCCAAGCCGTAACTGAGGGAAAGGAAGCCCAGATCGCTTTAAATCTCAGCTTCTATCCCTCTGCTTTAGTGTCTGCAGGGCCGATGGAATCTGAGCGACCCGGGAGGGCGGAGTTCTGGGCAGTGCAGTTTGAAAAGGGCTATAGAAATGAGCCGGTTCTTCTCCGCTGTTTCCCGGACACGGGAGGCCCCTCTGCGGTGCTGTCTGTCTCCCGGCCCTCTCCTCCCCGCCTCTCCCCAGCTCCCTCACCCCCACGGCCACTTAAGGAGCATGTTGATCCCCTTTGTTGCCTCTGCCATCGACCTGCTGTCGTCCAGCGGCCCTGGCCCCTCCTCTCTCTGCCCGTGACCTCTCCCAGCAACTTCCCCACGGAAAAAAGGAAGACCCGGCAGGGTGGGAGAGGTGCCCTGGAGAGAAGGGTCTGGGGGGAACAAAAGACCCCGTGAATTATTCAGAGACACAAGCGGGGCTGGGGGAGGGCTGTGCCCCCGAGGGCGGCAGTCGCCCTCGGGCCCTCTTTTCCGGACGCAGGCGGCTCCATCTCCAGTGAGACCTCTGTCGCTGGAGAGATCAGAAGAAGCACTGCTGTCCCCGTGGCGTCTGCAAAGGGACTCTCCCCTCACCAAGCCCTCCTTCCCTGCCAGCCTGCACTGTGTCTCCCCGTTTTGTATTAAAATAAGCACGTTTTGTATTAAAATAAGCACGTGGGCGGGAGTGATGGGCGTGTCCCCGACGACTGGCCAACAGGGGGTCAGGCCCCGCAGCCTCAGCTGAGCCTCCTCCCTGGAGGAGGTGGGTGGATGCTTGCCAGCCTCTGTCTGGCCTGCTGATTTCTAGACAAAGGGCTCAGGTGCCTATAACCCGGGGGCCCCACCGGGCAGTGACTGCTGTGGACCCTGGAGGCTGCTCTCCCGGTTTTCACCTCCACCAGGAACACTGCAGGAGGGTGACCGGGCATTTCCAGCTCCACAGTCTGCCCAGCACTCAGCTTGATGCTTACCCTTGACCCCCTCAAGAAGCTGAGAAAACTGGGACATTAAGCGAGGAGGGAAAAAGGGCTTCCCTGGTCGCTCGGCTGGTAAAGTGTCTGCCTGCCATGCAGGCGACCTGGGTTCGATCCCTGGGTCGGAAAGATCCCCTGGAGGAGGAAATGGCAACCCATTCCAGAATTCTCGCCTGGAGAATGCGGGGCCTGGCGGGCTACAGCCCCTGGGGTCACAGGGTTGGACTAAACCGAGTGAGTGACTAAACCACCACCAAGCAGGAAAAGGCTTTCTCTGGATCCCACTTCCTCTTACCCTTGGGAAACAAGAATGTAAACTATCACCCAGATTTGCACAGGGCTGGGCTGTTTACAGAAGATGCGACCCAGATCCAAATTCCTCCTGGGGACTGAGATTTGGGGCGCCCTGTTTACTGCTGTGGTAACTCAGACAAGGCCGAGAATGGCAGAGACTGCGTGGTTCTCCCCGACGCACAAAGGCCCCGCCGGGTGGCCTGGAAGCCAGGCCTCCCGACCCCCTGGCGGGCCCTTCCCCTGGACACTTCTGTATTTCATAAGCATGTACCACCTCCTTGAGCCCTGCTCCCAGCATCTAGCGCTGCCCGACTAGCCCTTTGGTGGGGACGCCCACCTGTCTGCTAGGATCGGGGGCACACCCTCCCTATCTCTCCAGACCCTGCCCCCAGCCCCCAGTTCTCAGGCCGCCCTGGGTGTGCCCTCTGGGGAGGCTGGACTATTTCCTCCTTCTCCAGACCAGGTAAACCAGCTGGTCCAGTTTGTGGGAACAAAAGTGGCTTTTGTCCTGCAGATTGCAGCTCCTTATCAGCCTGAGTGGGGGCAGGAGGTGGTGAGGGGGGTAGGCAGGTGCAGGGCTGGGCCATGCCTGCCGCCCTGGTGGGCATCCAGGGAGCAGGCCCTCCCACACTCCCCGGATAGCTGGAGGGGAACTAGACCCAGTGCAGAACCTAGCAGGGAGACTGCCCCCAAAGTTGGGTTGTCAGATTCTGGGGTGCGAATCATCAGGAAGTCTCTCCTGGCAGCCTCTCAGTTCAGTTCAGTTCAGGCGCTCAGTCATGTCTGACTCTTTGTGACCCCATGAATCGCAGCACGCCAGGCCTCCCTGTCCATCACCAACTCCCAGAGTCCACCCAAACCCATGTCTGTGGAGTCAGTGATGCCATCCAACCGTCTCGTCCTCTGTTGTCCCCTTCTCCTCCTGCCCTCAATCTTTCCCAGCATCACGGTCTTTTCAAATGAGTCATCTCTTTACATCCAATGGTCAAAGTATTGGAGTTTTAGCTTCACCATCAGTCCTTGCAACGAACACCCCGGACTGATCTTCTTTAGGATGGACTGGTTGGATCTCCTTGCAGTCCCAGGGACTCTCAAGAGTCTTCTCCAACACCACAGTTAAAGAGCATCAATTCTTTGGCGCTCAGCTTTCTTCACAGTCCAACTCTCACATCCATACATGACTACTGGATAAACCATAGCCTTGACCAGATGGACCTTTGTTGGCAAAGTGATGTCTGGGTAAAGAGGTGGCAGCTGTTAGAGCGGTGGTTCCCGCATGTTGGGCCGGGGGTGGGAACCTCTGCCCACCTCTCAGCAGAAGCTCCTCAAAGTGCAGATGCTCACGCCCTGCAGCTGGCGCTTCTGATTCAGGAAAGGGGCTCTCCCTTCCAGAAGCTTCTGAGGTGACTGTACCCCACCCCTCCCCGGGGTTTGAACTCGCTTTTTTTTTTTTCATTGCTTTCACCGATATTCGTGAAATGCCACTAAGTGTAGGGCTCTGAATGAGACAGCAGTGTTTGTCCTGATGGAGCATAGATTTCGGGAGGGGAGGTAAGAAGTAACTATTTAAAAAGACCGTAAGTGGGACTTCCCTGGTGGCCCAGTGGTTAGGACTTGGCCCTTTCACTGCCGGGGTCCCAGGTTCAATTCCTGGTCGGGGAACTAAGATCCTGCAGGTCGACCTGTGTGGCCAATAAGCAAAAAGGACCAAGGAGGAGGACTTGGCGTCTCGGGGGGGTGGGGGCAGTGTTAAATGAGATGTCCTCCGTCGCTGAGGAGGGGACGTCGGAACCCGGACTGAAGGATCTGTAGCAGGGAGCCCAGCGTGGGTCAGGTGGAAAAACGCTTCAGGCAGAGGGAACCACACGTGCAAAGGCCCTGAGGCTGGGGTGTGCCCAGCCTGTAGGAGGAATAGCAACATCACAGAGAGGAGATGGGTGACTCGGGATACCGGGGAGCTGGCGGGGGGTGCTCGGGGCCGGGGTGTTCCATGGCTCTACAGGGCGGGACAGGCCTCGCTGGCACTCTGCATGAGCCCTGGGCCGTTCTGAGCTCTGAGGTTCTGAGCGGAGCTGTGACATGCTCTGCTGGGGTTTGAAGGACTCAGCTCTGGCTGTGGGCAGACTGGGGCTTTAGTAGGAGCAAGTGATTCCTATGAGAGGGGAACCCCCTCAGTGGGCGATGTTCTGGGGCTCCCAGCACTGTGACCCTTTTTTCCTGCTTGTCAAACCCATGATGTGTCTGCTCTGTGCTTCTGCAGGGTGCCCACTGTCCCGGTGAAGAACCTGAGTGGGTCCAGCCCCGTCAACCCTGCGCTGGCAGGTAAGGAAGTCCCGGTTGTAGGGAGAAAAGAGAGAGACTAGGAGGGCCTTTGGGATGGACGCGAACGCTCTTAAGTGGAGTGAAAGTCGCTCAGTCGTGTCCGATGCTTTGCGACCCCGTGGACTGTACCGTCCGTGCTGGTCTGTTTTAAATGGACAACTAACAAGCAGCTACTTCCCAGCTCAGGGGACTCAGCTCAGTCATGGCAGCCTGGGCAGGACGGCAGTTTGTAGGGGGACGGACGCATGGAAACGCAGTTCACCTGAAACCGTCACCACATGGTTCATCCACTGTACCCAATACAAAAGGAGGAGTTGAACAACAAATAAAAGAAGTGAAAAACAAAAGCAAAAGCAACAGGTGTCACGGACGTTTGTAAAAAGACAATCCGGTGGTGACTGAGACAAACGAGGACGGATCACTGGGCGGGGACTGTGGAGTCAGTCACAGGGCGGGGACTGTGGAGTCGGTCACTGGGCAGGGACTGTGGAGTCCGTTACTGGGCGGGGACTGTGGAGTCGGTCACAGGGCGGGGACTGTGAAGTCTGTTACTGGGCGGGGACTGTACAGTCGGTTACTGGGCGGGGAGTGTGGAGTCGGTTACTGGGCGGGGAATGTGGAGTCTGTTACTGGGCGGGGAATGTGGAGTCGGTCACAGGGCGGGGACTGTGGAGTCTGTTACTGGGCGGGGACTGTACAGTCGGTTACTGGGCGGGGACTGTGGAGTCGGTTACTGGGGGCGGGGACTGTGGAGTCGGTTACTGGACGGGGACTGTACAGTTGGGTTACCAGGAGGGGAGTGTAGGGTTAGTTACCAGGAGGGGAGTGTAGAGAGGGCTGGGGGCTGACCCTCCAGCCCTCCTCCCTGGCTCCCTCATCTTCCAGGGATCACTGGGATCCTCATGAGCGCGGCAGGGCTGCCCGTGTGTCTCACCCGGCCACCAAAGCTGGTCCTTCACCCACCCCCCGTCAGCAAGAGCGAAATTAAATCCATCCCCGGGGTTTCCAACACAAGCCGCAAGACCACCAAGAAGCAAGCCAAGAAAGGTATCAGCCTCCTTGTCAAAAGGAGTCCTGGGGGGGAGGTCACAGACTCGGCTCCCGGCCTGGCTCTGTCTCCACCACTGAGGGTCGCACCCCTGCCTTCTGTGCCTCGGTTTCTGCATCTGTTAAATGGACTAACTAATCC